GAAATCCGGATTATCGAAAGTCCAGATTATCGGAAAATCCGGATTATCGGAAACGCCACAACATCAAAGGTCCGGATTATCGGAAGTCCGAACATCAAAGGTCCGGATTATCGGAAGTCCAGATTATAGGAAATCCGGATTAATCGAAAGTCCGGATAATCGGAGGTCCGCAACATCAAAGGTCCGGATTATCGGAATCCAGATCATCGGAATCCGGATTATCGGAGTCCCGCATCATCAAAGGTCCGGATTATCGGAAGTCCGATAATCGGAGGTTCGGATTATCGGAAACATACCAGGTGTCCTAAATCGAGCGGATTGATTCCGTGCATGCCTCGTCCACAATTTTGTGTCCGGAGGTATGAATCGAACTCGGTACCCTGTGGGTATGAAGCCATCGTGCTACCAATTACGCCAACGGAGGCCACACGGATTATGCTTTTTTCGGCCTCATAACTTGTTAGTTTGTTATATCTAAATATTAACTTTGTGTTATTCAACAATAAATAAATACCACAACGTGATATTTCGTTTAACACAGTGAGGTAAGATTCGAACTCGGTACCCTGTGGGTATGAAGCCATCGTGCTACCAATTACGCCAACACAGGCCGCATGGATTATACTTTTTTTCGGCCTCATAACTTGTTAGTTTGTTATACCTAAATATTGACTTTGTGTTATTCACCAATAAATAAATACCACAACGTTAGGCTCACTGCTGAATTCCGCTTAACAGCTGGAGGTAAGATTCGAACTCGGTACCCTGTTGATACGAAGCCATAACTCTACCAATAACGCCAACACAGGCCATGGCTTTGCAACTTTTTTTGGCCATATGACCGGTTAGTTTGTTATATCTAAATATTAACTGTGTTATTCAACATAAATAAATACCACAATGTTAATCGTACACTGCTGAACTCCGTTTTTTAGCTGGAGATATGATTCGAACTCGCTACCCTGTTGGTACGAAGCCATGACTCTACCAATATCGCTAACACAGGCCATACCATTCCAACTTTTCTTTGGCCATATGACCTGTTAGTTTGTTATATCTAAATAGAACATATAAATATATATTGAAACAGACAGACAGACAAAAGTATTTATTTCAATAATTGAGCTACATTTTGCATTGTTATTTTTAACACATATTTTTCTACCCTTGGGTACTTTATACAACATAATTGATTTTAATATATACAGTGAGTATTGATTGTGAGTACAGCGAGCTGTGTGACAAATTGTGTGGCAAAAAGAGGAAAGAAAATTTTTCCTCACAAAAAATCCACAAGGCAATATTTATAATAATAGTTAATTACAAAAATAAAAAAAAAACAAAATAAAAGATTTATTCGCACTGAAGGAAGATCTGTGTCGAGCCAAGTATCATTTGCCGCTATGGGTCGATCAGTATATAGTTTGGCATGGCGTGATTACCAAATCAAGTCTCTAGTGCCTAGTGTATTGGCCGAGGCCCGCGATGTTAGTATTAGGATGATCCCCGCATTTTATATAAACATTTTCGGTGAGCTTTTTTATATAGTCGAGTATTGTCCGTACGTCAGTCTGTTTGTGTGTGTATTTTGAAGAGTAGTAATGCCTAGTCAGTGGGTCCCTTATTTTGTTGAGTACGGGTCGTAGTGTCTTATTTTGTAATGTCTGTAGTTTCCGTAAGTTCCATAAGCGTTCCATGCCGGAGCGGCGTATGTCAGTAACGGTCTTATTAGTGTCAGGTGAAGTGTCCGCTTGTTCTTCACGCTTGTTGGGGTTCAAGAGAGGTCTCAGTAGATTTAACATCCCGTAAGCCTGTCCAATTTTTGTATTAATATGTTTTGTGAAGCTGAGTCTATGGTAAATATATATTGTGTTGAGAAAGCGCAAATAAATAGCTGTTAGTTACTTTCGAAGCGTGCGGTATGCATCAATGCCGAATGCATTTATGTTTGGCGCCATCTCGTTATGTTTAATAATAACTGGCAGAATGACTAATATTTCATCGTGTATAAGGTTGTTTGTGTGGCGTAAAAATCCGTGGGTAGATATATTTGAACATTTCATAAAAATGTTATTATAAATAATACCATGATCTATATGATCCCATTTCCAAATACTTTACCATTACGATACATTTATCATCAATTTTTCTAATTTCATAAATGTACTATTTACACAAATATATTTCTTAAAACTATTTGAATTAACTTATATCTATTATATATTAATTATAAAAAATAATCGTGTGTAAAAAAACTGTTATTTATTTATAGACAAAAGAAAACTTAGTATCGTACATAAGTTTGAGTTCATATATATTAGATAATATTAAATATAAAATTTTAACTTTAATATAGCTGCCATTGTAGCATAAAGCACAGCCCAGTGAGAAACTAGAGCATCTCCATTTGAAGTCTTTCTTCGAAGAATTGCAGCCATTTTATCACCTATTGAATTTAACACATATAACAATTAATGATTTTATTTTAGGTCTTATTCTAATAATTATGTTTGATGATAACTAATAATCAGAGGAAAGTTGATATTAGGATAAATTCTATATAGCTTTTCAGTAGTAGGTACGACTACTACTAGTAGTAGGGCGCACGGATCAACCGATTTGAATGGTTAAAAAAACATTCGATTCCTATTGATAGAAAGACGTGTTGATTAGTTTTTGACAAAGGCAGATCCAGCCATTACGGTGCAGAGAATGTAAATGGAGTTTTTGAGAGAACGGAGCATCCGAATCGAACGATATAAAAAGCATTTAATTTGTAATGATTGGGAAAAGTGATTAGTTTTTGACAGAGGCAGGTCCGGCCATTTTGAAGATACTGAGCTACTAATGGCAGTTTTTGATAGAACTAAACATCTGATTTGAAGAAATCGAAAAACTTTTTGCTTGTGTTGACGAAACAATTGCTTTTGGATTTTTTTTATTTCAAAATTTAATTTATTTTGTATATCGAAAATAAATTATTTTCTCACTTATAAACTTTAAACAAATAATTTGAACTTTGCAATTCAGTTTATATAATTCCTATAAATATTAGGCAATGTTACCGTATTTATAATAATCTATTTGAAAACATTTAATATTCCTCGAACATTTTGTTACGATAAGGAAAGCATTACCAATTTGTCTTAAGGCAAGATGACATACATCACTAGTTTAATTTTTCTCCGGAAAATTTAAAATAATACTTTCAAGTTTAATACATTGTGTATTTTTTAACTTCCCGTAGGGTAAGTTATTGATTTGCTTATTTTGGGTAAGAAATTTGCTTAATTTTGCTGACAAAGGGGAGGGAGAGGTAAATAATTGTAATAAATTTGCTTACGTAATACTTGAACGGATATATATAAATATATATATATATATATATATATGGCGGAATGAATTATGTTTCATGACAGATGTCAGTTGATTGACGCCAATATGATGACTAAACTACATAGCACACTTGGAACTACGCTGATGCGAATATCGCATCTAGCAAGCTATAGCTAGATTATTGTTTTCACGATCGTAAAAATGAGTTCTCTCGGTTTTAATCATCGATCAATTCTCGGGCTAAAAATTGATATCAAAATTTATATAATATCAGTTTCGTTTGTAAATTGAGTTATCAATAAACTCACATTATCATCGAGTCTACAACATTGAGCTACTGTTTCATTTCTAAATATAATTAATTAATAATAAATGGCCCATTAACGCCATATATATATATATATATATATATATATATATATATATATATATATATGTAGAACATAAAACAAGACATATATGTGAGCAATTTAATATATATCTTGTATTGTACATAGGCATGATAGGTCACATGCAATCTAATGAAAAAAACCTTATAATTCAGCATTATTTATTGACCTAAGACTAATAATTTTTAACATTATAATAGCAATAATACAATTTCAATTATCACTTACTAACAATTTAATTTATATATCTTTCAGAATGTATATTTAGGTAAAAATTTAGAGATATATTTTATAAAATATTTATTTGAAAAAGCATTATGATAATAAAGAATTAATTAATCAAAAGGGCACACACACACAGATATATATATATATATATATATATATATATATATATATACATAAATATAGATATATTGTGTGTACACATATGTAAATGTACAAAGTGAAATCTTGGAACTTGATAAATATTATTAAAATTATTTTATTTAGCAGATATTTTTAAACTTTGGATATTTCATAAATAGCTTTTTAATATCAAGAGAATAAATTAAAATAATTCAGCATTTATTATTCATTTTTAGTTTGAGAATAAAACGATTCAAGTGGCACCATAATTTAATGTCAGCTTATGGAGTGAGTCAATTTTGTTTTTCAAGTCTTATTCTTGCTGTAGCCCTTGATCTATTATGAACTTCAGCAGTGCGCAGAGTGATACCAAATATGTCTTCATGATATCGATTTTCATCCTATATATAGATAGGATGAAAATATAGTATAGTATAGATACATACAAACATATATATATATATATACATATATACACACATATATATATATATATATATATATATGTATATATATAGTCTGCGACTATATGTATATATATACATATAGTCGCAGACGACAGTGTATCGAGCGACTTGTAATAGATAACATTTAAATTTTAAATTATAACACACTGATGATAAGACAAACCTAGTCTCGAAACGTTTGTGAAAATTATTATTTAATAAATTAGTGCAAAAAAAAAATGTTGTTTGTTCATATTTCCAAATTAATATATATATATATATATATATATATATATATATATATATATATATATATATATGTATGGCATTGACACAAATCATTGAGATCAATTTTGTGATACACAAAGATTATATGATAAAGTTTTTGTTTGTAAAAATTTAAGTTTATACTAACTCGCATATCCAGCAAGAAACGATCAATGGTTTCTTTTGGAATAGAGTCCTGTTTTGTCAAAGCAGTTCTAACAGCTTGATGAACACACTCAGCCATTGTAACATCTCCACACACATATAAATGTCCATGTTCATGTACTAAAATTCTTCGCATATCATCTGCCACTGATAATACTAAGTCTTGCACGTAAGTCTAATGACAGATAGCATGTGTAAATGTATATAAATTTAGTAAGTCGCAAGACATGTTTAATCACCTTTTTAAGTCCAGGTTGTCGGCTAAGTGCTAAGAATTCTCTGTCAATTATTTTTTCTTCTAACATTAAGTTTTTTTCTTCTCGATATAAATCTAAGGCGCGTTGTCTACATCCAAAAAATAACCAAAGTTTTGGGATTGCAACGCCTTCAGTTTTGTATTTATGATGTAAACTATGCCAAAAGCCTCGAAAAGGTGCAACACCAGTTCCTGGTCCGATTAACACGATGGGTCGCCCTGAATCTATTGGCAAATGAAAACTTGGCGCGCTAAAATATTTGTAGAAAAAATATTTTGAAATTAAAAGTAATCAAATTAGATAAAATATTTTACTTGATTTATATTATGCTTTATTAACCATTGATATTAGTTAACCACTTAAAACTAATAAATTCTACCTTCTAACAAATATAGCAATTTCTTTTCCTGAAGTGAGTCTTTTCAAATAATTAGAACATACTCCATAATGTAGTGGTCCTTCTCCGTCTAAAACAATATAAAAAAAATTAAGTCATATAGATATATATATATATATATATATATATATATATATCTTGAGGATTTTTTGTTCGATGTTGAAACAATTGAAATAATAAAACAGTCAATGCGTCGAATGTAGAAAATTTATTTTAATTTTTTATACGTTTCGAGACTAGTTGTGTCTCATCATTCAGCCAAAAAAATTTACATTATAAAGAAAAAGTTTAAAAAACTAAATTTATACATTGGAAAAATTATGATGAGACACATCTAGTCTCAAAACGTATAAAAAATTAAAATAAATTTTCTACATTCGACGCATTGGCTGTTTTATACATTTCAATATGTTTCAACATCGAACAAAAAATCCTCAAGATATATATATATATATATATATATATATATATATGTCTAGTAATTACTAGGGCTATACGAGTATATATATATAGCCCTAGTAAATATTTTACTTGGGCTAAAATAAAAGATAAGTATATAGCTCACTTTGAGTCTTGTATTGAACTACTGCTACTGTTAAATGTATCTGGCCAGGATGTGGTTCAGGAGCTGATGAAACACTGTAGAAACGAGCTTGAAGAGGACTCAGCTGGGCACAAAGCATTTTAGCACTAGGTCTACAAGAAGGAAATTGTTCTAGCACTTCTAATAGATGAGGGTATTTCAAATGCCTCCAATCTTCATATGCCGCGGAATCCTATTAAGACTCGAATTAAAATGGAAATTTTATGAAGAATATTAAACTACACTTTTGTTTGCATATAACATAAATAAATAAATTAATGTTATTCTTGTACTAACTGAGGCCAGTGATTCTAATTTATCTTTATCTATTTCTTCTGTACAACAACTTGACAAATACTGAAGTATCGCAGGTGAGGGAGGAGTTGTTAAATCTAAAAATCTAGTTAGCAGCATTCGTAAACTGCATCTTGGAAGTCGTTCATGCCCAGACCAAGAACGTACAACACCATTATGTGTTTGTGTTTCTTTTAGTACCTATTAATATAAAAACATTAGATTCAAATTATATAAACAATAACATGCACAAAAATTTTCTATAGATATAACCTGTAGTTCCACTGGTGAGTCTGGTGATTCAGCACCTTCAAGTCGTTCTAATAAACCATTAACAATTTCTGAACTATTTTCAGGAAAAACACCTATGTGATCACCAGGCTCATATTTTAACTCGTCCTGAAATATTTTTATTTGCATAAAAAAATCACTTATTATTAGTAAATTTTCTGAATGTTTTTTTTCTTAAGTTAATGAAATTTGGTATGTTTCAAGCAAAACTTGCTTTAATAATCAAGATAAATAACAAGTTCATAATTCAATTAATATTTCAACACCTACTTTAGAGTTTTTAGGTATTTCAATTTCTAGCAGCAAAGTGCTACCTTCTCCAGCACTTTTGTGAAGATTTGTTTGCCTTAATAATTTGCAGGACACAACTTTCTTATTATAGCATCTTCGCAAAGCCGGAATTAATCCTTCTGGGACAGATTCCACAAATCTAATAGTATCCTGGGATAACACATCGGTATTTAAAGCTTGTGTTGCTTCTAGATATGTATCGGTGTCTTCCAAACAAAATGTTTCACATGCAACCTAGAAATTATTAACAATGGATAGTTGAGAGGTTATTAATATTAATAAGTACAATTTCAAACATTAATTTTCACAGAAATAGATATACACAAAGAAAAGATCTATACACAGGATGAAAAACATGCAAAGACTAAAAATTCCTTCTTGTTTTTCAGGAAATATACATAAATTTATATTAATTAATTATAAAAGTTTTCATATATACCTAAAAAAAATTGCAATGTCATATAGAAGTAATCTGCATATAAATGAAATGATAACACTTCATTTTTTTTTCTAAAAAAGCTTTCCTGAATAAATTGGTAATAATAACATAGTAGAAATGATGAATCATATTATATGTGCTAAAAAAATTATAATTTTTATTGATTATAAGTGATATACCTTGAAATAGGAATATATAGAAAAATAACTTTAAATCCAAACAGAGTATATTAAAAAGAATATTTGTATTATTATTAAAAATAATCATAACAATGTTAAAAAAAAGTATTAAATACTTACATAATGCTTTACATTACATTTAAATAAACTGATATATTAAACTTAATGACTGATTTAAATTATTATACACTTATCTAATTACATGTTATAATAAGACAATTTTTCTTTAATATCATTTTCTAATTGCATTTTAGGAAAGTACGGTTTGTAGATGTGATTCAGAATATAAATGCAAGATCGAATGTTTACTTCTAGAGAAGTTGTCAATGTTACAAACAAATCATCTTTTTCTTTCAGCATTTTATAAAGTTGTATTTTATTTATTAATGTTAAAGAATCTTGTAATTTCAGCATAAGTTCCAAAATCTTTGGTACATCATTCTGTGTGACTCCATATTGATCTTCAACAAGAGACATTTTGAGAAGCATTGTTAAACTGAGATTTACCCACATAACCACTTGGCATTCTGCAATAATTCTTCTGAGTTCCAGTAAACTGCTATTTCCAAATAAATAAGCTACGAATGGGTTATTCGTGACCTTTTTTACAATAATTTCCTTAAAAGTTGGTTCTGTTTCTTTTACTTCTTCTTCATTCAAGACCTCCTTAGGATAAGCTCTATAGTTAACTGTTTCTAGTAATTGCTCTAAATTCACTCTGCGATTTCTAGGAGAATTGTAATCAACTGATAACTTTGATGATGTCATTTTTGGATATGTTTTCATTAAGCCATCAATGAATTTTTCGAGTACAGATTTACATTCCCCTGAGATTTCATTCCAGTTTTTGCCTTGGCCTCCAGGAAAAGTTATAGCAAATATTTCTTTCCTTCTTTCAGGAACTCTCTCTGTTAAAATATATAAATCTTGGAAAGCCAACATTCTGATTAAAGGAATCTTAGACTTAAGTGCATCTTTCAATAGCATATCATTATCCACATTATTTTCTGGATCAATAGCAAATTCCATCGGTTGCATTAGATTTAATATGAACAGCTCATGTATAATTAACAATGTAAAGTAAAAGCATGTACCAAATGTGAATAAATATACAATGATGTATTTTTCTAAACAATAAAGGATGTCAAAGTTATTCTCGGCATCAAACAGAATGCTCCAAAACTCTAGTGCCTTGTAACCAAATATGATATAAATGATCAAATATAATGGTAGCGAACGCAAAGACAGTTTACCAGCATCATAGATGAGGTATTTCAATTTCGTAGATAATTGCATTCTAACAGACTGGTGGATAATAGGCAATTCAATGATCTCATCTTTAAAGTTGCGCCTGATAAAATAAAAAAGTGCAAAAAAAGGCCCAGAGCATATAACCAAGCATTTTCTTGATTCTAACGAGTTGACAAATTCATCATCACTTATGCCCGACAACCCAGTCAGATTCAAATGCAAATAAGAATTCGTAATACCAAATATTATCGATGTTAATATCAATATTTGACTATTAGTTGAAAATAACTTAGTGATTTTCTCAAATCTTGAAGAAACTAGTGAATAATTTGTTGAATAATTCTTGCTATATCTTACGGTGAATCCAAAAAGAATAACTGCATTTAATAAGAAAGATAACCAACAAACACCAGATGTCCATTTATCAACAATTGTCTTCAGCCAAACTAAAGGGTAGAGTAATCTAAAATTTATAACACTTATAAATATTATCACTTGTAAACTTTGCAAAATCACTATTTGTCTGATTGTGCTAGCGATTCTTGAAATATATTTTCCATTACACGGAACAGAAGCCATTCTTTTACGTATATAAATTATTTGATACAAATCACATTCAGCAATTATTCAACATCTATGTTTCAATGTTTATTATAAATAATTAACAGTAAAGCGGCGCCAGAACTACACATAACCACAAAATAAAAAAGACGTTAAATCAAGATGTCAAAGACGAATCAGTATGACCAACATAGCATGTTAAAACTACGTGTATGGTTCTGAAACTGTAAAAATATTTTAAGCGTTAAAACCATAGACATGCCATAGATATTATACTACATGGACTGCTAGTCGAGCGCAAAATAAGTGCTCAAACATAGAAGAGACTCTGACGTCACTTGCTGATCGAACGTTGCCCACAATCGCGGACTTTGATTAAATGTAACAAAATTATCAGTTATCACAATAGCCATTGAAATAAAACTACCACAGATAATTTTTGAATAACATTAACTATTATGATAAATATTATTAAATATTAGTAATGGGGGGATCAAGCAGGCAAAACATTTAGGAATAACAAAATCACTTGTCATATTTTTATATCATTAATTTTTATAATCAATAAATTTTATATATTTTTATACAAGTGAAGTTTATACTTTCATATCCATAACTACTCCCACATTGGTGACGCACGACGTTTGAGATGAAGACAAAGAAGGAGTATTTCTTGAGGATTTAAAAAATATAGATTTTGATGCAGCACCATAATCACTGGTCTTCAGTGACTACTTATAACGTACGTCCAGTCCTCGATTCATCGTAGTTAACGCATTTACTACCTGACACTGGACTTTCGTTGGTATACCCATTTGGTATACTCAGACCTCAGTGTTTATTCCTGACACAAAAGTTAATTCTGAGCCCAGACCTTCGGTCATGAATTGAATGCACTATCAAATAGTCATTGGAATCGCAATTTAACCTCTCCTTATCCGTTAACTCACCAAATCGTCTTTTGATGCGAAAGACTTAAGACTGCATCTTGTCAAGTTGATGACTTTTTAATACGGTTTCCTTCGAATCGCATCCGATTCGAGAATCCGATGTATGATCCAAAGGGCTACAGAAGTCGTCAAGATTAGTTTTTAATCATTGCTAAAATTCATATTCTCACAGAGCGTCATTTGTTCACCCAAAATATTATAGAAATTAAAATTAGTAGATCGAGGCTGAATCTTAGAAGTTCACCAAGACATCGAGACAGAACCATATGCAGAGTATGAAGATGATGGAAGGTCGAATTACCTACCATACTGTGGATCTGCCGACGAAACTGTCATTTATTCCATTGGATGAATTATTAATTGATCAGTACCACAACACTGCTCTAATCTGCTTCCCCACCATATGCTTATAACGTGTTTCCCTGTATTTTTTAAAACTGTGAGGTCAACACTGGGCAGGGTGTGTGTGGGGATCAAGCAGGCGAGACATTTAAGAATAACAAAATCACTTGTCATATTTTCATATCATTAATTTTTATAATCAATAAATTTTATATATGTTTATACAAGTGGAGTTTATACTTTCATATCCATAACTACTCCCAGAGTAATATCATTTCTTACAAAATTATTAGTATTCACAATTGCCATTATATTTTTAAAACAAAACATATAACATGTGACATTTAATCAATTGGGAGATTTCACGATTGTCGGCAACGTTCGCTCATCAAGAGACGTCGCAGTCTCTTCTATGTTTGTGCACTATATACAAAGAAAAACATACGAGGACTAGCAGTCTATGTAGTGTTATGTATATGGTTAAAACACTTTATTTTCAATAAAATAATGTAAAGAGCACCGATTAACCGATTTGAATTATTCAAAAAACATTCGATTCCTATTGATGGGGAGACGTCCTGATTAGTTTTTGGCAAAGACAGGTCCATCTTTTCGCAGATACGACAAAAAGGGCAGAAAACTGGATTTCAGTTTTTGCTAGAGCAGGCAGATTCAAATGATATATATTCGATTCGAGGTGATCTGGTGAGCAAATAGACTGGTAGACAAGTAAATAGAGGCAAACAGATGTACAGCTGAAGATGTAAACAGATACAAAGGTAGACAAGTAAACATTTAGACAAGAATAAATTTTGGAAGATAAACAGGTAGATCAAATGTAAATTAAAAAAATATTATTGATTACATCGATTATTTACACATATAAGAAAGTTAATGGAACATGCCACAAGGAAAAATGTTAGTAACAACTAGTTAAATATTTAAATTATGTTAGCTACTAATTATATTCAATACTTTTTGTTAATATACCATAAGTTAAAATGTTCTTAATAAATTTTTTACCTTAAATGCCTCTGAAGCCCATTTTTTAAAAGCTTGCTCTTGGCCACACATTTCATCGCCACAACCCATTCTCAGTAACCTTTCACCTGAATTATCATAATGCAAATAATATAATACTTAAAATAATTAGCAAGTGAATAATCAAAATAATCTAAGCTACCTCCAAGCTCGCCCAGAAGCTTATCAACGTATCCTCCAAATGCACAAAAGTTTGGGTAAGCACTCGATCCTAGTGCAAAAACTGCAAATCTATGAAATTTTATTTTAAATGTAATGGAATATATATATACAGTACACAATTTAATATGTGAATGAATGAATAAATAATAAATATTGAAAATATATATGTAAAACAATCAACAAAATATATATGATACATTGTTGAAAAATTAATGTCCAAAAAAAGTTCTATTAAAAAAATTACAAAACAATGGATAAACGTCGAAAAAATAATTATACAATAAAGTTATATGTATATATAGAATTTGAATATCTTTTATAATATATCTATTATATTTTTTGCACAGATATATGTACACATACATCTTACAAATTAAAATAAAATGTATCATATTTTTTTAGAAATTGTAATATAAAAGAAGCATTATAAATATGAGGCAAATCTGAATAGTTGTTATTTGTTTCATAACACGCAACTTCATGGAGCATTTACTTTATACAATTAAAATTTAATTTCCTGGATTATTAATTATTAATTTGAATTACCCGAAGATATGTTTTATTCATTTCCCGTAGAGTTAGTTATAGTAAACGCAATAAAATCAAAAATGAAAATTTTTGCATATCTTTATCTTTTAAGGTATTCTGAAAAATTCAAAATTCTCAAAAAAAAAAACAATTTTTTTAAAAAATTTCAAAAAAAATTTAAGTTTTTAAAAAATTAAAGTTACATATGAAGATATGGTAAGGTACAGCAATTTGGTTTAAGGCAAACATGCCATGTACTACTAGTTTCATTTTACATTTTTATTAATATTAATATTTATAGTAGGTATGTATTGTAATTATATTTATTTGTATACTGCATTACATGAGATTAACTTGATTACTTTATCAATTACTTTATTACTTGTTACATAATTGGCGTATAATAAATAAATAAATAAATAAATGATTAAATAAATAAATAAATAAATAATATGCGAAACATTTTTATGTACATTGTATAAAAAGTAATTTTTTCTTAGACTTTTTCGAAAATATAGAGTTTAAGTATATATAATAACACAAAACTTCAAAGAGTATATCTGTAACGAGCACCAATTAAATTGTTCAAATATCCGACTAGAAATTAACGAACATCGATCTAAATACCAAGCTCGAGGTTTTAATGACAGTAATTTGCTCCTGAAGAAAAGTTCCGAAAACCACTAAAAATAGTTTTAGTGGTTCTCCTTAAATCTTTTAATCTCTTTTACTAAGAGTTCGGGTAAACTTAGTTTTTTTCTATGAAAATTATTAATTTTAGTATGGGCAGTATATTTTTCATAGTTAACTCACCTTACATTACTCAAAGTACCAAATACATCTACACTCACTATACCAGGAATGAGGCCTGGTGCACTGGGCCGCTCTTGAGGCCTGGTGAAAACCGATCCACGGCGTAACATATTAGTACTACTGTGTGCTTTGATGAATGATCGAGATGTAGCCATATTTATACTGAATATTTACATTTATATTAATAAACAATTTTTTATCGTAATGCATTATCGGGCTTTTTTTACCTTAATTTATCTAATCCATTCTCTGCATCCGCCATTTTCATCGCGTACAAGTTTTGTGCGAACGCCTGGAAAATTATAAGTAATAATTTAAAAATAACGATACTACGATAAAAACAATAAACAAATATTTTAGATTTATTAATCTGGTTATTGATGTTTCAACATTAAACTAGTGGTGTATGGCAATGTGTCTTTAGGCAAATTGCTGGAACTTCCCGTACCGTAACGAAATGTTCGAGAAATATTAAATGTTTTCAAAATACTGTAACATTGTCTAATATTTATAAGAATTATATAAACTGAATTACAAAGTAAAAATTATTTATTTAAAGTATTAAATTAATTTCAGAGTTAAAATTAAAATCTGAATTATTTTTGATATACAAAAAAAATTGGAAAAACATTTTTAAAATAAAAAAAATTCCAAAAGCAATTGTTTTGTCAACACAATCATAAAGTTTTTTAAATCATTCAAATCGGATGCTTAGTTCTCCAAATCTGTCATTTTTTGTTTGGCCAGATTTGCTCAGTATCTTCGAAATGGTTGGTCCTGCCTTTTTCAACAACTAATTATTAAACCCAATTATTACAAATTGAATGTTTTTTCGATAATTCAAATCGGATACTCCGTTTTCTCAAACTCAAACTTCTGCGTTATTTGCTTTGTATCTATCACTAAGCACTATCCTGCTTTAAAATTTTATCCTTGAATTGAATATAAATCTCGAAAAATCCTACATCTTTGTTCTTATATAACTAAATTAAAAATTACGGATATTGAAACTACTTCTTCATAACTTTATATGTGTAAATAATAGACTTGATTGAAAATGATTGGAATTGAGCAACTTTTAAAATAGTGGCAATAATATTTTCAAAATAGACGAAATATTTGGCACTTGTGTGGTAATAATAAAAAAGCATCTGGGCTTATTGTTGCTTAAAATTAACCAAAGTGAGTCCCTTTAGAGTTTTATCAAATGGCTTGAAAACTTTTGAAATGTGATCGGCCGTTTTTTGATATTAACGACCACAAAAGGTCAATTTGGAGGTCTCCTGGAGGAGTGGTTAGCGCACAGATTTGCAATCAAGCGAATCGGAGGTGCAATCTCAATCACGGACAACATATTCGATATCGAGCAGTATCAACTTTTAGTTTTAATTTCAGTTTACATTTGCAGCTTAATGGACGTAAAGTTCTGATTGCTTTAAAATATGATGAAGAAAAAGGTCAAACTATTGCTCAGAAATTACTAGATACTGAGAAATTAATAATGCTGATATTAAACAATTCACAGTAGACATTCTGACAATCAGGACATAATTTGAAAAAAATATAAACATATATTTCTTAGACTCGATTGCGCAAAGGCATTTGATCATATAACATATGTCATTTTTATTAAGACTGATATTATTTCCAATATCTCGTATACACACTCTTGATTCTCTCGAGAATTGTCTTATGAACGCCTGAAATAAATTTGTTTCTACTGACAACCCATTCCAATTTATCACAACTCCATTTTACAATCTCGCATTTGCCCTGCAGGTGAGTACTCACATCTTACCTTGTAATGTAATACAAGGTGTTCCACTTAGAATCGGAGAAACTGATACGTTTCAATGGAAAAACGAAACTTATGTGGAATATGAAATTATTGAATAAAATTTAAAACTGAAAGCGACTGATGGGGATGCATGTCATTGTGTTAAATGAAATAAAAAATCGCGTTTAACAGTTTTGTGCGACAATCAGCCAAGCTGTATCTTTGTAATTAGCAGAAGAGTGTGACTTTTCACTTCCCGTAGGGTAAGTTATAGCAATGGGACGAAAATTGAAATTTTGCATATCTTTACGTTTCAGAGGTTTCTGAACATTTTGGCATACCTCAGAAAAAATGGGTGTGTGTATGTGTTTGTGTGGAGACAATTTTTCGTCGACGATTTTGGGCGTATGGATGAATCGGTTTGAAAAATTCAAAAAACAATCGATTCCTATTGATAGGGAGATGTGCTGATTAGTTTTTGGCAAAGGTAGGTCCAACCATATAGAAAATAGTTCGAATTTTAATTTTAATTTTAGCTAAAGTTCTAAAACTCACCTACATACTTCAAATAAATAATCTAATTTTGCAATTCAATTTATATAATTTTTAAAATATTAGACAATGTTCTTTATGATCAATTCGATCGATTGAGTTTTATTTATTATTCTATAAACATATATAAGTTGCAGTATTAATAATAATCTATTCGAATTCGAACTTCGAATACTTTATTACGGTACGCGAAGTTCCAGCAATTTGCCTTAAGGTACGATGCTATACACCACTAGTTTTTGCGTTTGGGCCCGCAAATGAATAGATTTTAAGAATTTAAAATTGGTTGGCAATCGCCCTGATTAGTTTTTAATGAAGAACTGAAGCCGTTTCTTTGTAATTATTTGTGGAAAAAAAATCTTCTGAAGATTTTTATGAAATATTTTAGAAAAATCATCTAAGTTCAGAATTGTGCCTCTCGCTCGTTGAGCAAATAAGAAATTATGTTCCTTGCAGTAAAATTATTGTACATTTGTTGCACATATAATATATTAGACATATTGTAAGAACGTAAATTCATGTACGAAATCACTTATTATTTTTCATAGAATAGATCTATGCATTTTTCATATTCTTTGATCATATCTGAAAATCAGATTGACGTAGAATTTAATTAAAATATGAATAAAGCGGTTTTACTTGGAAAATTTAATAATTAATAATTTTTTATAAGAAACTATATATGCAATCAATATTTAAGATATATCAACAATTTGTATTGAAAATATCAGCGATATAGAATTGGTAATATAATATATAGTAGTACAATAGTAATATAGAAAAAGAAATGATAATGGTTTTAGACTATACAAATTTAAATTTAAAATTAAAATTAACATTAAAATAAATAGCAAATGTTATGCATTGTTTTTCGCAAGATATAATTCATATATAATTTAAGCATCTGTGTGTTATAAAATCACCAAAACTGTTGAAATTAGTTTGCTCGTCATAACAAAATTATGTGTAACTAATATTAACTTATAAAATATAAACGTAAAGACATTGATTTTAATCCCAAACATATCATGAACTAATCAATTTTCACAAGAACTTAGTGGCCTAAATTTATATTAAAAATTATATTATTTTGTTATTCATAACAAAATTACATAAATAAAAGTTCAAACCAAATTTAGAGAAAAAGATAGGTGAATTAACTTGGGTTATAAATCAATAAATTGATAAATTTATTGAACATATTTTAAAGCTATATTGTTATTAATTTTTTCGGGTGCACACATCAACCGATTTGAATAATTCCAATGACATTCAATTCCTACTGATGGAGGGACGTGCTGATTAGTTTTTGACAAAGACTACGGAGTAAAGAGTGCAGAAAATAGAAATCGAGATTTTGAGAGCAAGAAAGAACCGATTGGTGTGATTCAGAAAACATTCTATTAATAATGATGGGGTTACATTGTGATTAGTTTTTTTGCAAAGACACGTATATCCGTTTTGAAGAAATGAAGCTAAGTATGCAAAAGCAGGCAGTTTTTGAGAAACCTTTACTTGTATTGACAGAAATATTGTTTTTAGGAGTAGAAATTTTATTTTTATTTCACTTTTATTTAATTTTAATTCTAGCTATAATTTTAAAGCTTACTTATATACTAGAAAGAAATAATTTTAATCTTCCAAATATGAGACAAGATCCTTTATTCTAATTTATTAAGTTCTATTAATTTACTTTTCAAAACTTATATAAACGTCTTTATCCAATTTATAAGCTTTTATACTTTGTCAATAAAATACGAATAATAAAAGTTACAGTATTTATAATAATATATTTGAAAACATTTGATATTCTTGGAATATTTCATGACGGTACGAAAAGTTCCAGCAATTTGCCTGAAGGCACGATGCCATACACCACTAGTTATGTTAAATTTTACCATTTCTTTATAAATTTTCAAATATTTTTGTTATAAAATTGACATTCCTACATTAGGTGAACACCCCATATGTCTGCATGTTCAAATCTCCAGGGCGATTCTACGACAGACAACCGTGTCGGTAGCTAATTTGCATTCGCAATGTTGTTTCAATATATTTTTACTGTTCTTCAATGATGAAGTGTCTTATAGATATCTCTTTGTTCCAGCCAAAAAGAGAATTTATTTTGACATTTTGAACGAGTTTTCATGAATATCCGAAAAAATCGAATTCCACGTTTTATTGTAATTTTATTTCGATGCAAGAAGTGAAATTTATTATATATTCTGTTTTCGAATGTGTTGCTTGATAATATTGTAACAGATTTATTTTAAATAGATTTACTATTCATCCGCAAATTTAATTTGACCATGCTGATGTAAGGGCAATAAGATTTATTTTTGAATATACCCAATGCCATTCTTTCAATATAATTAAATAAAAATAAAATTATATATATATATATATATATATATATATATATGAGGGTTTTATATGTATATAAAATGTCCACCACTAATATCTTAAACACAAGTAAAGATTGTAACAAATGTTAACAACAATATTTGAAAGTAGAGGGTAAAAGATTTGTAATATTAATCAGCCTTTTACTTGAATCAAGAAACGATGCTATCAGCAGATAAACAAACCTGTTTGAAAATCTATAACAAAAGTTCTTTCTTTGGTTGTTAGAATTTAATTGTGAGCACTGTTATTTAGTTTACGAGACCTTTATTTAGTTTTTATGTATACATTATTTAAATGTTTTATAAGTTATATTGTTAATAATATAGTTAATTAATTAGTTAATAGTATAGTTACTAGTTATGTTGTATTGTTGATTTTAAGTTAGATTCAATAGTCACTTTTAACATATGGGTGAGTAAAAAGGACCAACTGAACCTTTACCCTGAAAAAAGCGTTAACAATGAAAAATTATAAATAAAGCTAAAATGCAATTTTACAAAAGATAAGTTAAATAAATTGTTTTTCTAACTCTGCTGATGAATATCTCTGACAAAATA